GGGTTGGTAGGTGGAAGACTTATTATAAATGGCCTGACGTTTCGACAGGATCGTCGTCCTCAGAGGCCAGTCCACCACCACATGAGCGGAACGATGCCACTCACTGTTAGTTGTCAGTTAGTAACAAACTAATACTTTCTAACTGACAACTAACAGCGAGTGGCATCGTTCCGCTCATGTGGTGGTGGACTGGCCTCTGAGGACGACGATCCTGTCGAAACGTCAGGCCATTTATAATAAAGTCTTCCACCTACCAACCTCTTTGGCAGAACAAATTACAACTTAAACATACGAGAAATTGAATTGAATCTAAAAATTAGTAAGCGAAAGGGGTGTTGGATAGCTGTTCTTCCTCGAAAGTGCTACAAAGGAAAGCAGCGTAAGTGCAACAAGAGGTATCGAAACAAAAGAATAACAAATAAAATGAATGCTTCAGATGTGTTTGGAGGTGCAAAGTTAGCGCCGGTATCCATCAAGTGGCATAAGGATAGCAAACTGGAAAATTTGCCTGAGCGCAGTGAACTCGTATGATGTCAGGGGTGTGAGGGGTCATGGGGATGTGACAAAACCATAGGAATATACCACGCTGGTGAAATTGGTGAGTGACGTCGCGCCCGGCAGACGACTTATTCTAGCAGGCCATTCGAATTCGAGGGGTATGTGGCAAGAGAATCGTAATTCTGTGGGCGTCGCGTGCGACGCCGCGCCTGCTAATGACGACGATTTTAGGTGGTATTGGTCGAGAATAGATTAATGTATGACCAAAAATAGCCACACGGGTCTAGCATCCCATGTCCTTGTCTACATGAAATCGATGCTCCAGTCAAAGAGGTAGTGCAAATTAAGGAAACGTCGCGCTCATTGCCGCGCGCGACGAAGCGGCAACTTACGATTCTCTTGCCCGTCTCCCGAATTTGAGCGTTAAATTGATGGAGAAATTCGATCTCACATCGCATGGAGTTCCGCCTCCGCTCGAATTCAAAGAATTTTCAGTGCTTCAACCGAGAAAATGATACGTATCGAGAACTTACCGTGCATCTCCGCACGATTCGACGCGCGCGACGAGACGTTCTCGACGGTTTTTGGACGGCAACGCCCCCTACTTCCTGCGCGCCATATTACGACTGTCTTGTCCTTGTCACAAACCCCAAAGACTTCGGCAAACACCTTGTAGCATCAGGCAGGTCGCTTTTAACCAAGACCCCCCCCCCCTCTGACACAAGATTGGTCAGTTGATAATGGGATTATACTTACTCGAGGGAAAAACAGTGTTCAATAAAAGAGCCGAATACATGATAGCTGATTCAGAAGTGTTATGAATCAAATGTTTTCCCCAGTGAGCCTGTTGATGTCAAAGGCCTCGCCAACCCTGTTCTTTCTTTCTCAAGCGATTCAATCCTAACCTGTATCATAGGATTGAGAGAAGTAAAATGTCCTTTGAAATTGGAACTTCGTCGAAGTGGTGCCGTGAATTTGCATTTTGAACAGCGGTGCTGACGTCATCTACAACAAAAGCTAAATGGTGAATGCTTTCAAACCTTTCTCTTTACTAGTTTAGCTCTTGCGGAATTATAGCTTTTGCCCTACTCGATGACCATTTCATGTGAGTTTTGCGCATTTCGTTCGACTGCACCTGTAGAATCACTCAGAAAATGGCGATCGTCCCCCCAACTTCTGAGCGACTCTACCGTACCGAACACTTCATGCTCCGGGTAGTCATGTCCAGGAGCGTAGCGCTACCTTGGCTTCACTCTCTTAGCATCGAACCGCTTTCGTTTGAAAATTCTACCTTAGCCAGAAACGCTTCACTCACTTTACTATTGAGCTAGTCGTTTCGCAGCAGAAGAATTTTTGCAAAATACGGCCCTCCCCCCCCCCCTCCAACGGGGATAATGCAGCGATGATAGCGCGCGTGAAATAGGAAAAATCAACCTCACTCTGCCGACTATATACGCCCCCTCCTCTGCTGGAGCTTTACGACGTTCCCTATTTAGAGCCCTCCTGCTACATATGCAGTCTGATCCCTGCAAATGATAGGGCGTGTGACGCAGCCAGGGCGCCTATCATCCGACCAATGATGCCATCCTGAGCCTGCTGCAATTGGTGAAAACCCTGCCCTGCTGCGCTCCAAACCACGCCCCTGTCACACGCGCTGTTTTTCGCAAGGATACGACTGTACGTAGTAGACTGATGACGCTACTGGCTAGGAAAAGGGGCGAGAAGGGGAATTCAGAGCACTCTCTAGTCAGGGTACAGCATCGTGGTATGTAAAACAGTAGTGTAGGTACGGCCCCCCGACCTCACCTAAATGAGGGTCTCGGTACGACCCTCCCCCTTCCCCAACACCTACCTACCAATTTCCCACATTTTCAAGTTCAGTTTTTCACCCAAAGATTTTGCCGTGTCCGAGAGGGGGGGGGGAAGCTTCGGAGGCTCTATAATACATATGAAACAGGCAAGTACAAGGGAAAAGCAAATACAAGCGAAAAAGTCACAACAGGAAACATTTTTTCCCAAGCAGCATTTACAAATTTCTCTCGAACGCCACAGGCGATTCCTTTCTCCCGGCGACCAGATCCGATCCCCCCCCCCTCCCAGCGGAAAAGTACTACCTTCCCGTTATGTGTTCACACAACAATGCTGTACCCTGTCCTGTGAAGCTGCAAAGTAGTAGGAAGTGAGCTCCTTTGGCTTACAGGACTCCACAAGTTTTCGCAAGGTGGTATGCACAAGGTTTGCTGCCAATGAGGTGCCTTTCGTGCCCCGCCAAAGACAACCCCTCCTAGATTGATCTTCATCCATCTGCCTTAGGTCACGCACCCGAAATATGCATGACGGCGCAAATACATCTCCGTGACATACATTGCCATTAGCAATATCGCGTGGCAACCACTTATAAGGAGAAAAGGCGAACTCGGAGACGGGGGAGCATTTTGCACTTTTGCTTCTTTACTAGTTCCGGTTTACAAGTTTTTTTGGTGAAACCTGTCAACTCTTGTAACTCTTGTTAGACCATGATACCCATTGAAATGAAATTTGTGCATGAATTTACACGAGTTGACAGATACCATTTACAACAGTGGTCTCCACAAACTTTGGCTGGTATCATTTCGTGCCTTCATACAGGTCTCCGTTTGACGGTCCGACACGTCGATAGAAAGTAGCAAAAGTGCAAAATCCCCCCCAACCCCTCCGCTGTCGCCGAACTGCGCCGGAAAACATTCTTCATTAGGAGACCGTCTGTGTTATAATTTTACCTGGAAATTAGTGGTGATGTACTGATATGAGCACGTGCTTTCATCACGTGGTTGAACTTCAAACGTATAAAGGCTGTCATTCCATGGCTCATTCACATTCGCCGATCCTTGTTTTCCAGAGATTACAGTGAAATTTGCTGGAGAAACACGAAAAACCGCATATGTGCGATTGTCAACACCTGAATTTGTCATTGTATGAACTTCAAAGCGAAAAAAATAGGCAATCTGTGTCGACCACCTCTTGCCGAAAACGGAGATTCTGCCACATAGTCATTGTCAGCGGTGGAAGTGAAGCCTGGTAGTACCGTAATTGAAGAGACGGCACGTGCCTAGAAAAATATGAGTATCAGCTTGCATTCCATATTCCGTAGATAGGGAGGGCGTGGCTGCGTGCCCCGTTTAACCTCGCGCAGATGCGTTTCTTGTGCCCTATTTTTATGTGAAACTACTATGATCTTGTCTTGTAGGCAGAAACACTATCACAGTTGCACCAAAACGGCAGTCGAGATTCGCAGTCGCTGCCATGTTCAAATAAAGTGCGCAGCCACGCCTTGCCCATCATCGGGATATGGAGTGGGGTGTCAGCTCGGACTTTCGAACCCCGTCATAACTGACAAAATGTGCTTGGAGAGCTTCCTGTGAGAGGGCTCATCGTAATGGGGAAAATGCATTCTCCCGCCAGAAGAAGAGGGTCTCAGTAGGACCCCACACCCACGTTGCAGCCCCCAATAAATGGTAATAAGGTGGAAATTTGAACTCGCGCCCGGGACACATGCATGTGCATTTGCAGTGGAGCAGACTTCTGCAGAATAGCTAAAGTAGGGCAGAGGTACCTCTTCCTAAGAGCAAATATGAAGTTGTTGTAAGGGATGCGTTGTGAAGGGTAACTAGAGCTGTGAACTACTACTAGACTAGTCTTTTCCGCGCGGATGACGAGGCGTGTCAGTGCGGCTGGGTTGAGCACGGCCAGCCCGTTTCTCCATCAGTAGATGAAGCGGACCGAGAACGGCTGATATCGACTAATGACATCCAGCTTGCTTAGCTTGCGCTTGCCCGCTTGAACATCTGGTGGGAAAACGAGTTCTTGTTCTCGCCGCGCCAGACTTCTCCCTGACAGGCCCACTCGTCGCAGCGAAGCAAGACGTTTTAGGTAAGCCTTGGTTATATTGATTGGTGCCGCTAGTAGGCTTTGGAAAAAAAACAGGTTCTGGAAAAGTACTGGTGGTGGGAGCGCTGCGGAAATATGCTTCCGTATGGGGTTTCCACGCTTTGAATAACACAGCCTTCCAAAAACGCTACATCTTGCTAAACTAAGGTCATATTTGGAACTGAGGAAATATCCCGCTTCTAATCACTGTGAATGTTTTTGCGAGCTTTTCCTGACTAACAGGATTTCTCCGTTGTCGAAATCCTGTGGAAAGGCGCGACCACTCGACAACTCTCGCTACCGCCAGCACTTGAAGCAAACTCGTTGAGGAATGAAAGGTTGAGTCCCCGCGATTGCATATAGTGAATAATACCATTCAGTCACAACTCTTTAGCGGTTAAATGACTCTCCAAGGAGGAAACAAGAAAAAAACCATGAAGAACACCCAGATTTGTCAAATAGTGTTTTATAATCCCAGACAAATCTGGTTCCGACTGACATCTTAGAGGATGGCGACTTGCTACAGCCTAGTGGACTCGAACCCAAGGTGTGGGCGACGTTGTCTTCATAAGGCCAACCACGCTTATATTATCGTGAGTTCTCCTTTTGTTTTCTTTAGTCGCCTCCGCAGGGAGGCCCCGGCACTAAACGCCTGAACGTAACAGGACGGCGCCCCGTAGTTGACACTGTTAGAGCCCAGGCTTCGTCAAGATGTTTCAGCGTTGTTATATCTGGAATATTCGACCATAAGAGTGAAACAGGCATCGACAACCTGAGAACTATCCTCACCGATGGCTACGGTAACAGTGTTAATATCAGAGTAGATCGCGTGCTCAGTCACGTTGATACCGCTTTCTGAAACGAGGAGAAGTACAGGACCTTCCCAATAATCTTGACCAGATCCTGATGATGTACCTTGTTCTTATGCGCTCTAGATATTTTCAGCGTAGTTGTAGGGGAGGAAGCGTTCAGAATACGCGATGACGCGCGTTGTCGCACTGTAATACACGCCTACGCGCTGCAATTGCAACAGCGCTATGGACGAGAACGCAACAGCGGACGGGAATCGATCCGCGCCGGCCGCTGCTGTATCGAGAGGGAAGGGGAGGGAGGGGTGGGAAGGAGGGTACCTCGTTATCGAACCTGTTCTGGCTGCTAGCGCTTTGGGAGAGCATGGAGGCAAGGGAGAGTATCAGTTTGTGTGAAGCGTGCCCTCACGTGATCCTATATTTTCCCGAAATACAAGCGGCCGACATCGATCGATTCCCGTCTGGGCGCGTCTTCGCGCCCATAAGACTGGAGCGCTGTTGCACTAGTAGCGCGTCGACGCGCGTCATCGCGAAGTCTGAACGCTGCCGAACACGAACATGCTTACGATTTTTTTTCTACGTAAAGAGCCCGCCAGGCCTTCGCCCAAGTTTGGGGGTCAAGATATGAAAACGAAGATCTAGCAAAAAAAACAAAACTGAAAGAGCTCGAAGCGTTTGTAAAAACCTCCCACGCATATTGCAGAAAAAAGTGATGCGAAAGATTTCGATTCGCGCAAGAAGTTAGTTGGAGACGTGATGAAGGATGAGTACTGCCAAGGTAGACGAGCATTCATAAGCGCATGGTAGGACCGGCCGCACTTCTCCAGTCTCTAGCACTGTAGAAGAAATTTTTGGATAGTGTGCTATGCGCAGATTGCAACGGTTTTAGTTTATATGACTGTTTCATTGTTAATTCCTTCGTTTGGGTTCTGCCGAAATGACCATACCTGTCAAGAGTTTGTGGGCAATTTTTTCTCTCCGAAAGACCGGGTCAGCCACAAAGTACTCGAGTTATGCCATTTAGAAAAGAGGAAAGAAAAGGTCCCGAAAAACTCCTACAAAACAGAAATAGTTCGTCTCCTCCTCACTCTACACAAACCACTTATTGGCAGAATGGCACGAGGAAGGATTACCGTTATGGTGCTAAGATATACTCGAAATCCCTGACATGGAGTAGGCGTGGCTGCGTTCTTCAACCAAGCATGGCGGTGATTGTGCTCTTGGAGAGATCTTTCGCTTTGACCAACCGTGGTCGTGTTTCGCATGACACGAACAAGATGAAACATGCTCAAACCGCCCCTATTCCCCACGATAAAGCCCATCTGTGCCACCGTTAAATGCCACGCTACTCCATCTAACTGGTGATAAGGTGGCATACTGCATGTAAAATTCGAGGGGCTACCCAAGACTAAAAAGCTGAGCCTAATTCGAGACCTCATCGAAGCGATACACAGTAGTAGGGACTTTAAGGGTCGAAAGCAAATTGTACACTCACCTCCGTTGACCGTAATGCTTGCCGTGTGTGCGGTGCATGGTCCGTAGCTGCAATAGCGTGTCACTTTCTCCGCTCAAAAGAATACGAGAACGGAGCTGGAAAGTAGCGATGCCCTGGTGTTGTCTTCATACTTCGCCGGTTGCCGCACGGCCAGCCGACGCTAACTATATCCTACGTGCTACTTGTCTGCGCCCACACACGTCTAGCAGTTGTCTACCATTGAATGCGTGTTTTCCTTGGTCTTGCAACACCTTGAGGATAGCGCAGGCGGAGTATGGAACGACACCGGAACCAGCCTCGTTCTCGTCACTTTTAAAATCGGGAGGGCGGTGGCAGCGCCACATGCAGTAGGCAACGCCAACTGCCTGTCTATGAAGGACCGCACTTGGATGGCGAGTGTTACAGTTTTCTTTTTGGATGGGTTGCTGAGAGGAACAGGCTCGTTTAGCATTCGAGGTCGGTAAGTAAATCTGCCCCTGTGCAAGGTCGAACAGCAATACATCGTCTTTAAATAGAAGCTCGTTCGCCTCTATCATTTTGGGTTTGCCCTTCTCCTTCAGCTTCTTATTTGTATAGCCACTTTTTTTGCGTCCAATAGTCAAATAGAGCAAGATTTTAATCAATAACGTGACGTTAGGTCTGTAGAATTATACAGACCCGAGTAAGAAAAACAAAAGCTGTCTAGCACCATGTACCACCACACCCCACGCTATTACATATTCCCATACCCTTAGGAACAGCTCAAGAAATGCTGACCCTTTTGTACTCAGGACTTACCTACTACAAAAATAAGTGTAATAGCAAAAAAACAATTTACGCGCTGGGTCACGTATGTAGACCATGTTGGCCTTGTGGACATCAATACCAACCACGTTGATGACCAATGAAGACGCGGAATCTTCAACGTAGAAGTTGAACACCGCAGGAATTCGAGCAATCCTGAACAAAGGACACAGCAAATCCAGAATCTCACACTGCCTTAGAGGCAGTTGGCACGATAATTTGGTACTCAGCCTAAAATGGTAGCAGGGCGCTATCTAGTGGAAGATGGCGAAATAGACAACGTGAAACTGTCAAACTGGCGAAAAAAGCCATCCTTCTGAGAAGCGATTTGGACGAGTTCCCCGTAAGCGTATTGCAAATAACCGCTCCGGCGGGTACGGCTGCCTGTATGTACTCATATATCCATTCAGCACCGCAGCCGCTTCATACTAATCCCTTCGCTTTATTTTACTCAGCAAATGAAGCAAAACGAGCATCTGGTAAGGTCGTCCATTTGTGGCGGGCAGGCGCGGCGGCGGAACGCCGGAAAGTTGTGGCTCGTTAGGGTCCCTTATAAGGCACCTAGTCGGAGAAACGCTGCAGCACTACTCAGGGCAGGGTGGAAATACCTGCATCCTCCTACTCGTCTTTTAGGAATTTATCGTGCCAACTGCTTTAAAACCACAATTCTAAAGCCCATTTATCAGTGTAGAAGTCCGTACTGGGCGGCCTCGTCCATGATCAACGTAAATGTCCTCTTGAAGCGATGAGATCAACAATGGAGTTAGCTGAAATTATGAAGTGGAAGTGACCCTGAATCTTTTCGAATGTCAAAAAAGTCTCGTAATGGCATATGACACGACAATCAGTAAAATTCAACTAGAAGAGCTTTAAGAAAACTTGGAAGGTCAAGGTGAAGAAATATAAGAAGTTTTGAAGGAAATTTGATAAAATCCTCGACCAACATTAACTATGCTGTTGTTAGTGATGGGTATATTTCGGCCACCAGTTTCTCTTTGATGAAATGTCAGATCACCAATAGGAAACGCTTCGTTCCGTCTCCCAAGGTGCTACTTTCCTGAAAATATTTTTGGATTAAATTCTCAATGAAGCCTTTTTAAACAATTTTCGAAATCCATTCTGCCTACCTGCATTTCCTTCGAAAGAGGCTTTGAATCTGTATTGGTATGTACCGACAACTGTGTAGAGGTGAAAAGGTAAAGAGTTATGGGAGAGAGGATAGAGATTTCGTAGGCCTGGAAAATAGACTTTTTCAGAAGAAGAAGATAAAACTCACATTTTCCACCCGTTAAAGCAAATATAGGCTAACTTAGTTCTTTATTTCGAGGAATCCTCTCCAAATGCGAAGCGCTATGTTACGGCTTCCAATGACGGAGCCTACCTGCAAGTTTTCAAACCACTTTCCAAAACTGTTCTTGTTTGTTCATTGCTTTGAGTCATTACCGGAATCATCGGATGGGCGGAATTACTTGGACAAGTGCGACCTTCTCATTGCAGAGCGCCCCCCCCCTCTCTTAAAATGCCACTCAGGAAAGCGCAATTATCCAAGCGACTCCGCCCACAAAAAAACTATGAATCGCGCCTTCAAGATGAGAAACAGCTATGATGATGACGGCTACTGGAAGCAGGGAAGTCGCACTTTGGGGATCCCCAGCGGGGGGAGTCGTATTCGCTCCAGAGAGATTTGTTCTCGAATGTTGACGTTTTATGGTCTTTCCTGTTTGAAGTGCGCATACCCCCCTTCTTTACCCCCACCGCTCGACAGCAGTTTCTTTACGAGAAACTCAAGAGAGCTTCTTCGGGAAAGGCAGGAAGTTGGGAAAATTTAGAACATCGTAGATAGGAGAATGGGGAAGGAGGAGTCGTACCAAAGGAGTATTCCAAAGGAGGGAGAGGGGTCGTATTTTGCGAAGTGTCTTGCAAAAATATTCCCAATGGACGTGCTCTGTCGACTCCAAGAGAATAAAGGCAAAAGTGTGAGGGATAAAATGAATGACTTGCCTTGTGAATAACATCCAGGGATAAACTTTGATTTATAGCCCTTTTATTACTGGTCACCACCGTCATTGAAGAAGTAAATTGGTTGAGGAAGTCTTCCCACCAGAAAGTGCTCGAAATAATCCTCACATCTGCAGAAGAGAATTATCAGAACAGATGAATCCCATAAACACTTTTTGGAAAAATAGTACTTCTAATTTGTAATCGCCGTTTTACGCAGAGGGTGCTGTAGTAATTGCCGTTTACAACGCGTATAATCCGAGGATCAATTCTCAGATCAGTCTTGTCCACACCAACCTAGCCTTTCATTCCTCCAAGGATCATCCATTAGTAACAGCCCTGTCTGGCAGGATAAAAACACTGTCTTATACGAACCGCGGGTCTGGCATACGACTATACTATAACTCACGGTCAGGAGTCATGTACAGGGTTGTTCGCTATAGAATCACAGACAGAAGAG